ATGAAACAAAAAACATGTATTTTGTTATCGTGTCTTATTGTTGAACGCTTTTGCCGTTATCAATCATTATTGATTGTGCGTATTGCAATTTAAACGTACTATTGCGCTAGTGTAACAATCTCATTAAAAAGGTGGAAACGCATACTCTTGATAAATGTGCTTCTTTTATTGAACACTGTGATTCTATCTTGTGTCATAGTTCATCTTTCTTTCGTACTACCTTTCTTCACGTTGCGTGAGAATAGTGAGATTCTTAAATAAAAAAAACATATTACTTCTGTCTTCTCATGAAAGAAAAAAAGTTACAGAGACAAAATTTCTAAAGTAATTCAATAATCTCAAAGTTTCAAGAAAAAAAAAAAAAAAACTTCGCAGCAACACGTGATCCACAACTCGCAACTGAACAACGATTTCATGATGGTATCTACTGCAAGATGAGTACTAGCGTTAAACGATTATGTATCGCATTATTTCTCACAAGAAAGACTAAAATGACCGTTATGAAACAGGAATCTCTCAGCAACCGCATGAAACGATTATTCACATTATATTCGGGATAGAGACAAACCCCTGAAACTATCGATTGTCTTTGTTAATCCTCAGCGGTAGCACAATTAGTGTGAGCATTCACTTCAGATAATTCTGAGTTTAAGAAAAGTATCATGCGGATAATAAAAATCAATCGCAGAGGGTAGTAGAGATGGAGCAATCAAGAATACCACAAAGGCAGACAAAATACAAGAGAGATTGGCACCTAGGAACAGATGGTTAACATCTGGATACGAGTCGTTTCTTATGGATCGAGCACTATATGCACTAGTAGATATGTTGTCCCACTAGTTTTTGACACGCAATTATCAATGAGTGTTCAAAGTATCTATAGCGAGAAGTTTGAACTCATGCCTCCTGTATAGATCGTGATAGACGGCATGAATTTTTGGACCTCGCATTTTCGCTCGACTACACATGATTATTCTAGCTTCATTTCATGACACGACCTTTCTCCGTTGTTCGAGATATTTAAAGTGTAACTTTACTTATTTCGACGATCTTCGTAAATACAAAGTTCAACAAATTTCAAACATTCAAAACTTCTCCATTAAATCTGTGTAGGAAGCACTATTTAATTGTTCTAACTATTACTTACCCTTAGTAGTCGTTGTTACAATTGGTATTGCTGCTGATGTTGGTATTCCTGCAGATGTTGTTACTATTTTAGTAGTAGTAGTTGTTGTTGTTGTTGTTTCTGTTGTTGTTTCTGTTGTTGTTGTTGTTGTTGTTGTCGTTGTTGTTGTTGTTTCTGTTGTTGTTGTTGTTGTTGTCGTTGTTGTTGTTGTTTCTGTTGTTGTTGTTGTTGTTTCTGTTGTTGTTGTTGTTGTTTCTGTTGTTGTTGTTGTTGTTTCTGTTGTTGTTGTTGTTGTTTCTGTTGTTGTTGTTGTTGTTGTCGTTGTTGTTGTTGTTTCTGTTGTTGTTGTTGTTGTTTCTGTTGTTGTTGTTGTTGTTTCTGTTGTTGTTGTTGTTGTTTCTG